GTAAGCGAAAAAGTGCAGAATGGTAAAACCGTTGCACTGTTCTGTTACGAACAGGCAGTTTTTCATGAATCACTAAGACTTCCGCGAAGCAGAGATTTTTTTCTCAAGCTCCTTCCTTACCAATCGTTTTGGAGTTCATGAAAAGACTTATTGGGTTCCAAAGTCGGTGGAGAGGAACAACTCCAAAATTCCGTAGTTTGATCATTTCTTACTCTTCGAGACAGAGCCGAAACGATAATTTAAATTGGCGACAGGTTGTTGGCCAATTTTATTGCATAAACTTAATCAGGACACGTGTTTGTTTATTTCCATATTCTTCTTTATGGGTTATGTGGCAGAAATCAATTTTCATCTTGAAATGCCCTTCAGACATCTCGTTATGTATTTTGTTTCCATTGCCTGCACATTATTTTTCATAACAAGAAGGAGTACCGTATGAATCAAATGATTGGAAAGTTTCTACCCTTTGGAACATCGATATTTCGCCTTCTTTGCGGCATCTTCTTGCTTGAGGTTTATGGTGCAGCTCTGATCTCCGCTTCGAAATTGTCGGTCATTGGCTGAGCAACATTTTCTGCTGTTTGATCAGGACAGTCTGTAGCCCGCTGTTTCTTGCAATACGGTGGTTCTCTTTTACTTGCCTCACACAAATGTGCAAAGCTGCTGACTATGAAGGATACAACTTTAAGGGTCTGCAACTTTTGCACCTTACCGAGAGAGAAGCCCTTGTGCAGAATAACAGGAAGGAGACAAAATGAAATGGTGCCATTTCGGACCTTTGCCTGCAACGTTGACAGAAAGCAACAGCTCCAACTGGTGATACGGCCTTCATGCCTTTCGTGTCGTGCGAGTGATTTTTGAACACCAGATACATATGACGAGTCGCCCCAGCTTTTAATTACCTGATGTTAGAGCTACACCCAGAGTAGGCTGCCATTCTGACATTAGTTGCACGTACGGGTCACGGTTGCCTGTGTCGTTTGGTTTGCCTCCGTAATCCGAAAGGAGAAGCGATCATGAAATGAAATGAAATGATATATTCGAATGAGAACAACAATTGATTGTTTGCACTTTTCATTGACAGCATGACTACCTTCAACTTAGTACTTTTTTCGA